GGGGATTTGGGGACATTTCAGGGGATTTGGGGACATTTGGAGACATTTCAGGGGATTTGGGGACATTTGGGGACGTTTGGGGAACATTCCGGGAGGTCTGGGGACATTTTGGGAGATTTTGGGAGATTTGGGGAAGTTTCAGGGGGATTTGGGGAGATTTGGGGACATTTCTGGAGATTTGGGGACATTTTGGGGACATTAAAGCTGATTTGGAAACGCTTTGGGGTCATTTTGGGACATCTGGGGACAATCCGGGATGTTTCTTGAACATTAATTTTTAATTAATTCTTAATTAATTTTTAATTAATCTTTAACTAATTAACATTAATTAATTTTGGGACATTAACGTTGATTTCAGGGAGATCTGGGGCCGTTTCTGACAATTTTGGGACGTTTCAGAGCGACCGGCGCCATTTTGAACCCGATTTTGAGGGAATTTTCCAGGATTTTGGAGTTTCCCGAGGGAATTTTTTGGGATTTTCGGCTCTCCCATCCGGAATTCCAGGTCCCCCCCTCACTGAGAACCTCCCGGATCCACAATTCCCAAAATTCAGCGGATTTTGAGCCAAGTTTCAAGAGTCGATTTTGAAGGCCTCGGCCGCCGTTTTGGAGCCGTTTCTGAGGGGATTTCGGAGATTCCCAAGGGGAATTTTTTTGGGGGATTTTGGGGTCTCCCGTCAGGAATTTGGGGATCCCCCCCTCACTCACGTGTTCCTGGATCCGCAATTCCTGGAATCTGGTGAATTTGGAGCCCCGGCTTTGCAGGTAGAGCCGCCCCCCAGAGCGGTTGGTTTGGCACTCCCGGCTCGGGCAGAGCAGCAGCGGCGTAAAAGTCGGGCCCTCAATCTGTGGGGAGGCAAAAAAACCCCCAAAAACTCCGAGAATCGCCCCAAAAAAGTCGGCCTGAACCCCAAAAAACCGGCCTGAAGCCAAAAAAGTCCACCCAAATCCCAAAAAATCCATCCAAATCCGGCCCCAGGCCCTCAGATGGGCCCCCTCGGAAAAGGCGGGAAGAAAACGCGGCCTGCGGGTCTGTGAGGGGAAACCCCAAAAATTCACAGAATCCACCCAGAAATTCCACTGGAATCCCAAAGATTGGCCCGGACACCCCAAAATTCCACCCGAAACTTCCAAAAATTCCGCTCAAATCCACAGGAAAAATCCCCCTAAAGGCCCAAAAAACGCCCCCGAAAGCGCCCCTCAGAAAAGGCGGGAAAACGCGGCCCGAGATCCGTGAGGGGAGACGCCAAAAATTCAGGGAATCCCCCTAAAAAATCCACCTGAAATTTCCCAAAAAAACCCCCGAAATCCCAAAAAAACTTGAAATTCCCTAAAAAAACCTGAAATTCCCTAAAAAACCCTATCCCAGTACATCCCAGTTTGTCCCAGGCCTGCACTGGTCGCAGCTGTGGGTGGCACTGAGACCACCCCACTCCCTCCCAAACCCCTTAAAAACTTCCTAAAACCCCCCAAAACTCCCCAAAATCCCCCAAAATCACCCCAAAACCCCTCCCAGTCCATCCCAGTATATCCAGTCCCTCCCAGTCCATCCCAGTTTGCCCCAGTACCAACCGGCAGACCTCAGGCCTGCGCTGGTCGCAGCTGTGGGTGGCACCGACACCACCCCAGTCCCTCCCAAACCTCCTAAAAACACCCCGAAACTCCCCAAAATCGCCCCAAAACCCCTCCCAGTCCATCCCAGTTTGCCCCAGTACCGGCTGGTAGGTCTCGGCGCCGCACTGGTCGCAGCTGTAGGTGGCCACGCGCAGCAGCGGCCGCACCTCGCCGGCGCGGGTGACGATTCCCTCCACCGTGACCAGGGAGCCGACGCTGCCGGCGCGGAGATCCCGCGGGGAGAGCGGCTTGGAGCAGGACGGGGCGCGGAAATACAGCTCGCTTTTGGGGTGAGAAACGGGGATTTGGGGAAAAATCCGGAATTTGGGGGGAGAAGGGGAAAAAATCCTGGGGTTTTAGGGTGAAAAATGGGGTTTTTGTGAGGGAAAATGGGGTTTTTGTGAGAGAGAAATGGGGATTTTGTGAGGGAAAGATGGGGTTCTTGTGAGGGGAAATGGGGTTTTTGTGAGGGGAAATGGAGTTTTTGGGGTAAAAATGGGTTTTTTGGGGTAAAAATGGGTTTTTTGGAGTAAAAATGGGGTTTTTGTGAGGAAAAATGGGGTTTTGTGAGGGGAAAAATGGAGTTTTTGTGAGGGGAAATGGGCCCGGAGATCCTGAGGGGAGAGCGGCTTGGAGCAGGACGGGGCGCGGAAATACAGCTCGCTTTTGGGGTGAGAAACGGGGATTTGGGGAAAAATCCGGAATTTGGGGGGAAAAGGGGAAAAAAAATGGGGGTTTTCGGGTGAAAAATGGGGGTTTTATGAGAGAAAAATGGGGGTTTTGTGAGGGAAATGGGGTTTTTGGAGTAAAAACGGGGTTTTTGTGAGGGAAAAATGGAGTTTTTGTGAGGGAAAATAGGGGTTGTGTGAGGGCAAAATGGGTTTTCTGTGAGGGAAAACGGGTTTTCTGTGAGGGAAAATGGGGTTTTTGTGAGGGAAAATGGGTTTTTTTGGGGAAAAATGGGGCTTTGTATGGGGAAATGGGGTTTTTGTGAGGGGAAATGGGGTTTTTGTGAGGGAGATAGTGGGGTTTTTATGAGGGAAAATGAGTGAGGGAGTAGGGAAACAAATGAGAAGAAAATGAGGGGAAAAAAGGAGGGGAAATAAGAGAAAATGGGAGGGAAAAAAGGGGAAATCCAGAAAAATGGGATTTGAGGGGGATTTGAGGTGAATTTGGGTGGGTTTGAGGTGGATTTGAGGTGGATTTGAGGGGGATTTGAGGTGAATTTGGGTGGGTTTGAGGTGGATTTGGGTGGGTTTGGGATGATTTGAAGAGGTTTGAGGTGGATTTGAAGGGGTTTGAGGTGGATTTAGGGAAGATTTAAGGAATCAGGTGGTTTGGGGGGCAGTTTTGGGGTCCCCAGACTCACAAACGCCGCAGCAGCTCCGGGGGGAACTGATTTTGGGGGGTCCTGGGGGCTCCCGCAGCCCGGCCCCGCTGCTCCAGCAGCAGCCGATGCTCCAGGTAAACATCCAGGGGGTCCCGAGGGTGGGCCTGGGGGGGAAAAATTTGGGGAGGGGGCTCAGGGGGACCCCTCACTTAAAACAACCCCAAAATCCCACTCGAAACAGCCCCAAAATCCCACTCGAAACCACCAAGAAACGCCCCAAAACCACCCTGAAGTGACCCAAAAACTCTCCAGGACCCCCTAAAATCTCTCAAACACCCCCTAAAAACCCCTCAGGACACCCAAAAATCTCCTAAAACCCAAAAAATCCCAAATCTGGGGCTCCCTGACCTCAGCAGACGTTGAGGGGCAGCAGCTCGTGGACAGCGTCCGAGAAGACGCGGCTGTAGCGCCGGACACTGACCCCTCATGACCCTAAAACCCCTCAGGACCCCCAAAAATCCCCTAAAAACCCCCAAAACCCTCAAAAATCCCCAAACTGGGGGTTCCCTGACCTCAGCAGAGCCGAAGAGGGGCAGCAGCTCGTGGACAGCGTCCGAGAAGACGCGGCTGTAGCGCCGGACGTTTTCCACCACGGCTTCGGCCAGCTCGGGGTCATCTTCGGCCACATCGTCCAGGGCCACCCACAGGGCCACCTGCTCCCGGCGGGCCAGCAACGTCTGCGGGGAGTTTTGGGGTGAAAAAAGGGCATTTTGGGGAGATTCGGGAGGTTTGGAAAGGGTTTGGGGGAGTTTAGGGGGGGTTTTGGAGGATTTAGGGGGGATTTGAGGGGTTAGGGGGGGAGTTTGGAAAAGTTCTGAGAAGATTTGAGGGACAGGGAAGGGGATTTGGGATGGAAAAGAGAGTTTGGAGGGGACTTGAGGGGGCTTAGGAAGAGTTTGGAGGGGTTGGGAAGGGGTTTGGGGCTGTTTAAAAGGGGTTTAGGGAGGTTGGAGGGAGTTCGGAAAAGTTCTGAGGAGATCTGGGGGAGTGGGAAGGGGGTTTGGGGTGGAAAAGGGGATTTAGAGGGGATTTGAGGGGGTTTAGGGAGAGTCTGGGGGACTGGGAAGGGGTTTGGGGCTGTTTAAAAGGGGTTTGGGTGGGATTTTGGGGGGTTTAGGGGGGATTTGGGGAGGTGGGCGGGGTCTTGAGGGAGTGGGAGGGGATTTGGGGGAATTCGGGCGGTCCAGGGTGGAATCTGAGGGACTTTTGGAGGGTCGTTTGAGGAGATTTAGGGTAAATTCGGGGGTGCCGGCCCTCACCAGCTGCTCCCGGTACGGGAATTCCTTGTGCCCGTCGGCTCCATCCCGGTAAAATTCCTGAAAAAATCGCTTCGCCTTTTCTGAGGGGAAAGCAGAGACCGAGAGGGGAGGATCAGAAACGGAAGGAAAGGTCCCGATATCGAGGCTGGCAGATGTCCCGATAACGGATCAATAACGGAGCCCCGGCGTCCCCCGCTCGCCTCAAACCTTTCTCGCTGTCGTAGTCGCGCGGGGCCATGTCGGGGCCGCTCCCGTCGCGGTTTCTCCCCTCACGATCGCGACTTTCCCCTCACGATCGCGACTTTCCCCTCACGACCGCACCCCCACTTTTCCCGCCACAGCCTTCCCCTCACGGCCAGTGGCGCGAAAAGCCGGCAGCCACGTGACGGCCGGGCGGCCAATGGAAAAGCAGGGACCACCCTCCGCGCGGGGGCAGCGCCGGCCAATCACAACAGCGGACGCGAGGAGGAGGGGAGGAAACCAGCCAATAGGAACGCGCGGGTGCGCCCACGTGGTGCAAAACCACGCCCGTCCTGGGCGGGGACAGGCGCGCGGCGGCGGCGGGAACCGGCCCGGAGGTTCCGGGGGTCGCGGAAGGCGCTTGGCCACGCCCCCTCTTAAAGGGGCAGCGCCGCTTTTTGGGGTGAATTTGGGGTTTTTTGGGGGGGTCCTGAGGGGATTTTGGGGGCCCGGAGAGGGGCGGGGGGGGGGG